CACACACACACACACACACACACACACACACACACACACACACACACACACACTTTGGGCACTAAGACAATTTAACAGTATTAGTTCTTCCAGTCCATGAACATAGTCTATTTTTCCAATTATATTTTTTCAATTTATTTCATCAATAACATATTTTTCAGGCGGGGCGGTGGTGGCACATGCCTTTAATCCCAGCACTTGGGAGGCAGAACCAGTTGGATCTCTGTGAGTTCAAGGCCAGCCTGGTCTACAGAGTGAGATCCAGGACAGGCACCAAAACTACACAGAGAAACCCTGTCTTTAAAAACCAAAAACCAAACAAACAACAACAACAACAAAAAGAACAAAACCAAACCTTATTTTTCATTTAACAGGTTCCATTTTCTTGGTTAAATTTTACTCCTAGTTTTTCCTTTATTGTTTTGCTCTTAATGTCAATGACTGTTTTTCTCATTTCTGTGTTGGGGGGTATGTTGTTAGTGTTAGAGAGACAGAGCTAAATTTTATATATTGTTTTATGGAACCAGCAAACAACATTGAACTCATTTATTTTGAGGTACAGTCCTATGGTTTTTTGTCTAAAATGGTGTGATCTGCAGAGATATTTTTTACTTTTTCCCTTGTGTTTTCTATATCTTTATTTAAGCCTTTTGCTTTGGTCTTGATTTTATAGAAAAAAGACATTTCTGTAACTTACAGATTTTATTATATTGAGATCCTCTCACTCTATATTAAATACATTGAGTTTTTAAACATGAAAAGATGTGGAATTTTGTGAAGTTCATGTTCAATATCTATTGGGTAACAATATGACTTTTCTTTTATTCTGCTAATTTAGCACCTCATATGTATTTATTCGCATATTAGGACCATCCACAGACCAAATCCCATTTCAAGTTGGTGTATGGTGTTTTTACTGTGGCTCGCTAGTACTCTGTTAGGAGTCCCTGGGTCTGTGTTGAGTGATGCTGGAATGTGATTTCCTCCTCTCACCATGTCCCCATCCTTGCTTGCAGTGCAGAACTGACCTTGTAAATAAAGTTTGCAAGTGTTCTTCCCTCTTGAATTGTTTGGAAGAGTTCAAGAACTGGCAAGAATTCTTCTTTAAATGTTGGGCCAGACAGTGGGGAAGCCATATGGCACTGGGATTGTTTGTTGGGAGGGTTTTGATTACTGATTCAATTGCCTTACTTGTTATTCATTTGGATTTTGTATTTCTTCATGATCCAGTCTTGGTGGGCACTTAATTTTCAGGAATTTTCATTTATTATAGCTCATCTAACTTCTTAGCATATAATTGTTCAGAGTATTCTCTTATGGTCTGGATCACTTCTTGGTTATCAGTCATATTTCTCTAGTTAGAATAATAAAATCTTTTTATTTTGTTTTTCTTAATTAGTCTAGCTAAAGATTTGCCAATTTTATATTTAAAATTAGCTTAGTTTCACTGATCTTGTTTTGTTTTCTAGTCTTTCTATCTGAACAGATTCTTCCGTAGTGCTCACTAGTCCCTTCCTTCTGTTAACTTTGGGCTCATTTGTCCTTTCCCTTGATCTTCAATGTTTAAATGTTAGACTGTGCACTTGTGAGCCCTTTCGTTAAGTTGTTTACAGCTATAATCTTTCCACTCAAAAACATTTCTGCATCTCATACACATGACAGGTTGAGTTTCCATCTTCATTTGTCTCATTATATTTTTATTTCTCTCTTTTCTATAATCAGTCCCATTAGGCTTTGGGGACAAACTGCTTAACTTCCACATATTCATGAATTTTCTTTCCATTAATAATGATTTGCATTTTTACACAAATAGGGTTAGAAAAGATGCTTCATGTGACTTTAATCTTTTGATTTTTTAAGACTTGTTTTTGTAGCCCCACATTCACCTATCCTGTAGAATGTCCTGTATATGTCTGTGAGGACCACATGATCCTGATGTTGCTCAGTTCTGCTGTTTATGCATTCTCTGTTCAGAGGGCCTACTTTTGAGAGGGATCACCATCCTCCTTCTGGTTGACTTTCTCCAATGCTCTGAGTAGCCAGCTGCTTTACATACATAGGTGTACCAATGTTTGCAGAACAAATATTTATAATTGTTTTTGTCATTTCCTTTTTTGACTATTAACTAAACTCTATCTTGTTATAAATTCAGCTACTTATGGTCTCATATTTGTACGGAATATCTTTTTCTATCTCTTCACTTTCAGTTAGGTGTGCCTTTATAGTTAAATTGAGTCTTTTGTATGATCACTAGATCATACTTTCAAAAAGAAAGAAAAAAGGAAAGCCTATTCAGCCACCAGACATCTTCTGATCAGAGAGTTTATTCTTTTTACATTTACAATAAATGTTGTCAGGTACCGTATTTACTGTTTCGTTTTGTTAGTTGTTTTCTGTCTGTGCTGCCATTCCTTTACTCTTTCTTGCATTCTTGGGGTTTTTCTTTTGATGACTTTCTTGTTGTTGCATATGCTTTGAGGTCTTTCTTAATCTTCTGAATTTCCACTTCAGAATTTCCTTTGTCATGGCTTTCACAAAACACCTTGTAACTGTAGCTTCCTATTTTCAGATGTTAACAGCATTGCAATAATGATCACATATGATGACACAGATCACATTTTAGAGATTGGATATAATGATTTACAAATATGTTTCTATTATATATCCAATAGCAAATTTTCGTCATTTAGTTTCTAAATACTTTAATTTTTATGTCATAATTGAAAGTCATTTTTGCAACCCCACTGTAATGCTCAAGAATCCTGACTTGAGTCTGTTTCAGCTTTACTACTTAGAGTTCTTTATCTCCACCTAAGGAGCTCTGGGCAGCATTCACAGTGAGGCACAGGCTCTCCATGTCAGCTCACTGGGGCAGTCTTTGTTCACTACCTTGTTCTGAAGTTTGTTTTCTTTTTACTACAGCATTCTTGACTAGTAGTTTTTTCTTTCACCATCTGAAACATCCCACATTCTCCTGATCTTTAAGGCTTCTGTGGGCATTCCTTTGGCAGTCTATGGGTGTGTTCTTTCTTTCTTTCTTTCTTTTTTATACATCTTTTATCTTTATTTTACAATACTATTCAGTTCTACATAACAGCCACAGATTCCCTTGTTCTCCCCCTTCCTGCCCCCCTCCCCTTCCCCCCAGACCACCTCCCATTCCCACCTCCTCCAGAGCAAGGCCTCCCCCAAGGACTGAGATCGATCTGATAGACTCAGTCCAGGCAGGTCCAGTCCCCTCCTCCCAGATTGAGCCAAGCGTCCCTGCATAAGTTCCAGGTTTCAAACAGCCAACTCATGCAATGAGCCCAGGACCTGGTACCCCTACCTAGATGCCTCCCAAACAGATCAAGCCAATCAACTGTCTCACCTATTCAGAGGGCCTGATCCAGTTGGGGGCCCCTCAGCCTTTGGTTCATAGTTCATGTGTTTCCATTCCTTTGGCTATTTGTCCCTGTGCTTTATCCAACCTTGGTTTCAACAATTCTTGCTCATATAAACCCTCCTCTTTCTTGCTAATTAGACTCCGTGTGCTCCACCCGGGGCCTAGCCGTGGATGTCTGCATCCAGATTCCTCAGTCCTTGGATGGGGTTTCTGGCACAACTATTAGGGTGTTTGGCCATCCCATCACCAGAGTAGGTCAGTCCTGGCTGTCTCTCGGCCATTTCCAGCAGTCTTTTGTGGGGGTATCTTTCGAGGGTCGAAGGAAAGAGAGCGGGAGATCCCAGCTGAATCAAGAACAGAGAGGGAGAACAAGGAATAGGAGACCATGGTAAATGAAGACCATATGAGAAAAGGAAGAAACAAAGGGTGTGTTCTTTCTTACAGGGG